ATTCCCCTCCTCTGCTTGAGATAATAACTTTAAGGGGCTTTACCAGCAGATTTTTTTTCTGAAAGCATACCAACTCCTCAATAGCATGCTTCTCTCTTCCGTTACCACAATGTCATTGATACCTTACGTTGGAGGTGTGAATTCTTATTTACTGTCCTAAAAATCATATGCAAATCAAATTCTACTCCAGAAGGAAAAGAACAGTAATGATGAGGCAACTGAGAAATAGGGAACATTTTCTAGGGGTCAGTCTAAAGGTAGTCTTAAAGAAATTTCCATTTTTGGAAAGTGAATTTAACTTAAATTATAGCAGATTTGAGAATCTTATTTTTGAGAATTTTACTTTTGACATTTAAGTAATTATAATTTTAAACTTGCTTCTTAAAAGCTTCCATCTTACATCCACCAAAAACCCCACCCAAATGAAGTGTTATGTTTGATCTTGACTATTTTTCTGCAGTTTTGATATAACTTCCAGTTGTTTAAAGTCTACAGAGGCCGATGCCTGTTTGTAGCTTAACAAACAGTCTTGAGATTCACCAGCTTAAGCGATCAGAGGTTTTGCTGCCTCTTAAAATTAGATTCCAGTGGCTGACTTAAAAGAGGGACTTTCCCTTCCTATGTAGTACTAAAAAAGTTATCATTCTGTTATGAAATCTCATTATTTATCAAACCACTTCCTAGACAAGGGATTTCATATGAACAGTTTATACAGCAATACAAATATTATAATAGTCTGTGAAACTTACATCTCAAAGACACTAAGAAAATGTCATTAATTGCCATCTATGCTGTAGTTATGTTCATGTTTCCCCTATCTGTCCTGCTAAACTAATTAAAGCAGATAGCAGTATTTTTAACTTAAATGAAAGCAGGTATTGATAAATAATTTTAATTTGGCAAAGGCAGACAAGATTTCCTTACACAATCACTGTTTTGATCTTGTTCAAGTTCCGATTTGGGTCAATGGAGGGTATGGTGGGAAAACCCCAAATCACCTGAAATACTTCCTTCTATATTTTGGTGCAATAGAATGAGTTGTAGAAAAGCAGTTAAATCCCTCACCTCGAGGACTCTGTCAGGGTCCGCTTCAAAGTGTCTTGCAGCAACAGCAGTCACTCCTTTTCTTTAACTGGACTTTTGATTAAGCCTGCAAGCACGTATCTTGAGAGGCATGAAAGCATTTAATGATTTTTTAGGTGTTTAATTAAAAACACTGAAGGCCATTTGGATGATTGAGTCCGGATTCCCAAAGACATTTCTGAATTTTATGAACTTCTAAATGAATCTATGATTTAATCTATACTAGCTTACAGCTTTAAAGGCCAATATCTCATGTATACAGAGGCCAATGTTTTCAGGTGAAAGCAGTCAAGCTCTTTACACTACCATTGTGAGATTAATGAGTTTTGAGGTTGCATCAGTAAAACGTGCTTGTACTTAGAATTGCTGAGGTTAATCAGTGCAGCCTTCATCCCTGAGTTAGGTATGCATGGTCCTTCTGCAGTGCCTGGGAGAACTAATTGCCTAAACGTAATATTTGTTGGAACAGTATTTATTGGTCTTCTGCCTTCTTGTTCAAAGTCTGTCAGAGAAGGGGTCAGGTGCCTATTCTGGTGCAGAATGAGAGGGGCAAGGAGGCATCTGGGGGATGTGAACTGGGGTGGATTAGGGCAAGGCCATCTAGTCATGAAACTGCCAGGCTGGTGAGCTGTGGGAAAGGACTAGATGCACACTCGGTAAGGTTATCAAAGCAAGGATTTTTATGTGCATATGCATCCCTGAAATGAGTCAAATCTTTCACTAAGCTGTATGGGAGAAATGGCACTCTGGGGTTTTTTTATTTTCCCCATTAAATTTTCATTCCCATATACAGCTTTGATTTGGTTACATTGAAAGTTTTCTGAATGCTGATGCTGGGATGGCTCTCTATTTCTTTCTACCTGTGAATGATAAGACATCCTTCCTGTTGTATCAATAGTAGTGGGTAAAATAGTCTTTCTTGTGCATCTGTTTCATGGTCCAAAAAAATCAAATTTGCTCAATTTACACGTAAAACATAAGCTTCAGAAATGAAGCTGAAGCTGAAGATGTCTAAAAAACTAGTCCTATGTTGCAGCAGTTCTTTCCTATTCCACTGGAAGGCTAGGAAGAAGGAAAAGGGACACTGGGAAAACATTTTATGCATGGTTGTAGTATCACATACTAGAAAGAGTTAAGGTTGCAAGGAATGGGAAATGCCAGATATAAAGACTTTCAGATATTTGACTTTTTCAAGGCTAATAAAATCTTCTTTGTGGAGCCCCTGGTGGTCTAGTGGTAAAGGCGCGGCGCTATCACCGCGGAGACCCGGGTTCGATTCCTGGTCAGGGCCACTCCCGGGCAGGTGGGGCTCGTTAGCCCTTAAAGGCAACCCACCTACGTCCTAAGGACCTCGCTGCCACCGTCCAAGCTCGCTTGGCCCCGGCAGATGAACCTTAGGATTAAAGGGTGGGCTCAGTTCCGCGCACACTGTGTCTCACCTAAAAAATCCAATGCGCAGGCTGGAAGGTGTAAAGACCTTCCCCGGATCTTCGCTCGCGAAGACTGGCCATTATTATTATTAAAATCTTCTTAGATATTTTCCCTGGTTTTCTGGGAAGAGGAAAAAAAATTCCTTGGGGAAGTTTTAAAGATTTACAGAATTAATGATTCAGAAGAATGATTATTTGTGTCATTTCTGCTTATTAAAGGTCATTGCATTTTATTTAAATATCCCTGTGTTGAGTCTAGTAACTTGTATTTGACTGAAGCAGACCCTTTGCAAAGCAACACACCTTGATTTGAAGGCAACAAAAGATGGAAAAATTATTCCTTTCTTGTGTTATTTTTTTCCAATAATAATCAACTTAGCTGTTAGGAAAAATCCAGTCATTGTTTCTAAGCTGAGTTTGTCTGTTTTAGAGTTTTTTCTATTTGTCTTTGCTGTGCTTTTCCTTGAAAACTCTTCAGTACCTGCTATCTTCTCCCTGTGAGCTCTTCAGACGCTGTAATCAGATCACCTCTTGGTGTTCTTTTTGATAAACTGAATGTGCTGAGCTCTTTAAGTTACTCACAGAAAGAATCTTCTCCACTTTCTCTTCATTTATTTTTTGGTGCTTTTTATGCAACCATTCCAACTTCCCATAGCTTTTTTTTTGGCAATATGAACAAGACAACAGTTCTGAACATCTAACAGTGATGTCCATAGAAACAGAATCATCCTTCTACTACTGCATTCCACACATTTAATGGAAATTAGTCCATTTATCAGCGATTTGCAATATGAGTGTTTACTGAAGTTTTGTTCAGTCTCACATCTGAGATACACTCGGAGATGATATTTTTTTTTTTTTTTTTTTTAACCAGGAAGAAAGTTCCTAGTCTGTTAATATGTCTTACATTTGTTTCTTCTAGCCATATTCTCTCATGCTTGTATTTGAATGGTGCCTAAAGGGCTATAATTCAACCTACAGGACAGACTACCTCCCTTGCTGGAGGGCCTGTTGAGGAGATTGATCTGGTGAGAGGGCAGAAGCCCAGCCCTGACTGATAGGTTGGTATGTAGGTGAGAAGGATTTACTCTGTTTTCCCTTGCAGTTTTCTTTTCTGTGCTTCAAGCCAGCATTTGGTATTATTTTCTCAGTAAGTCCTAATTAGAGTATTTTAGGGAAAAAAATGCTATTTTTTGACATTTCACAGTGGTAATAAAATAACATTTCTGCTGATTTTTAAAGTAATACTTAATTTACATATTGGGCACATTTTGACAGCACTGCTCAACTTTTTTAAATTATTTTTTATTTTATACATTAAAGTTTTAAAGGCAAATAGATACATTGCCCTATGTGTTAAAAGGGATCATATCTTATATTTCCACTGTAAATTATAAATGACATATAGCAAAATATAGCTATATTTATTTCTGTGTGTGTTACATGTGCATGTTCTAGTTTGGGCACACACTCAAAATATGGGACTGAAACAGTTTTAAGGCAGAAAATCTGTCACTGAATCCAATGATAAATTAACAGCAATGAGCAAACACAACTGGTTGGGGGGAAGCATTTCAGAAAGAAGTGTTAGGTGTATTTCTGTTAAGGCTCTCCTTCATCCTTTGTGTCCACCTCAGAGCTGGAAGCAGTCCCACAGGCTGTCCCCCAAAACTGTCATAGAGGCAGAACAAAGCAGGGTGCCACCTCAAAAAATAGATCCTATTCTTCTTTGCAGGCTGAGGTTCTCTACCATCTGGACAAAACAAGTGCTTCATTTTGATGAAATCAAAAGATACAGAAAAAAAATATTACTATGACAATTTTTTTTCCACTGTGGTATCATACTTAAACAATAGTCATCTTTTACATTAGCAGTCATGAAAGAGTGGACTGGGAAAAGCTGATGATAAGAGAGGAGAAAAATTGGCAAGGAAGGAACAGGGAAGGGAAATGGCTAAAACTTGTATCAGCTGGCATTGTAGTGAATTCAAGAAACTATCATACAAGAAACAGTCTGGCTCAGCAGACATCACAATTAACACGGATTCTTTTTGGAGAATGGGATAACTGCTGCTTCCACAAAGCAAACCCAGAAAGCTCGCAATCACTGATAGTTAGCTGTAAGAAAAGGAAACACAGAACATTTTGATCACTTGCAAGTGTAACAATGATATTTTCTTGTAGAAGGATTTGAAAAAATAGAATTGAAACCAGGATTGGGCTAATTAGATTAAATATATTCAAATACCTGTTTTTGCCTGTGGTGAATAGCTCTAACTGCTAATGTGGGTGCTGAGAGACTGAGAAAAATTTGTTCACTATTATTCCAAAGGTCTTGCATTTGTGTGCACTTCCATTATAGATGAGAAAAGACATTAAAAAAAACAAACAAACAAACCAAAAACCTACGGTAAAGCCTGACTGATACATAACTGAATGAGCATAATCATATTTTAAAATGATAAAACCTTACTTTTTTTTTGGCAGGTACACAAAGATGAAGACAGCAACCAACATCTACATTTTCAACCTGGCTATGGCAGATGCTCTAGTTACCACAACTATGCCTTTCCAAAGCACCGAGTACCTGATGAACTCCTGGCCCTTTGGTGATGTGCTGTGTAAAATAGTAATTTCTATTGACTATTATAACATGTTTACCAGCATATTCACACTGACCATGATGAGTGTTGATCGATACATTGCCGTGTGTCACCCTGTGAAGGCTCTGGACTTCCGTACACCTCTCAAAGCAAAGATAATCAACATCTGTATCTGGCTCTTGTCCTCATCTGTTGGTATATCTGCAATAGTTCTTGGGGGTACCAAAGTCAGAGAAGGTGAGTGTGATCATTCGAAATTCAGTCTTTTAATTTCTCAATTGACATAAAATATTCATAAAAGGTTCAAATACTGATTAAACCTGGCTGATTCCTTCTTCAAAAAGTATATATAATTTCCTGACATTTTGAAATATATTGTGGAACTTTACAGTATGGCATATAAATAATTTAAATAATTTAAGCTCAGATGCCCTGGCCAACCAAAGAACAAAATGAACTTTGGAGCATTGTCTGTACTAGTATGAGACCATCAAGAACTACTAGTAGACAGCAGGGGAAAATAATCAGTTAAGTTGAAAGATGAAATGTGGGCTTAAGGTCCTTTTTTATAGGTGTGAGAGCAGTTCTGATGAATTTCTAAGAGCAGAAACAAGAATTTTTGGGAGCTTATTATCACCAGCCATTTCACAGAATTTGAAGGCATCGTGAAGAAAGGAAAAGTCAGTAGCTGGAGAGAGACAATCAAGCTAAATTATATATGACAATATTTCAAATTTTTGCTTAAGGAAGGATGAGGGTATATGTATGGCGATGTGGAAAAGCTGAGAATAACGATCAGTAGAGGAACTGGAAATTCAGACCATGGTAGGAAAGCAACTACAAGAACATGGAGTCAATGAGATATGTATGCAGACCATGTGTAGACTTTGCTTAAAATTTTTAATCCATGAAGGACTGTGAATTTAGCACCTGTAGCTGATGACTCATTACAAAAACTGCCTTGCTATGGGGTTAATTTGATTTTGAAATCCTCCTTGAGAAGGAAAGGGTAGGAGCATTTTCACACACATACACTTCATATCCACAGGCATGACCGCAGTGCAGTAGTACCTCAGTGTTTGCAAAAGGCTGGAGACTCCTAGTGATGTCCTTGGGTTGGGATCATCCTGTTAATGGATCACTTGATAAAATACAAGGCATGCATATTTATTTGGCTCATCTGAGATGTAAATAATCTTTTGAGAAAGTGTTAATCATTTCCTGAATTAACAACCTTTGCTATTTAGAAAGGTTTCACTCCTCCCAAGCCAAACGGTAAAGTTTGTGTAAGGACACTGTTTTATCTGACAGAGACAATAATGTTACGCTGTTCGACACAGATCAATGCAAAAAAGCATTTCAGTAACAGCTGCTCAAGGGCTGATAGATTTGGCTGAATATATTTAGATTTTGTTCTTGTTGTTGGTCTCCTAGTATGTAAGTGACAAGAGAGTCATCCGGAAACCCTTCTTTCAGTCCTTTGAGGGATCAAATGTCCCGGTCTGCAGTAGTGTAATTCGTCTCCCTAGTAAAGTTTTGACAGGCTCCATAAAACAATGTCTAGCTGAGGAGACGTTAACTTGCAGGCATATTTGGGGAGAACGAGTGTCTTGCTACACGTGAGATCTTGAAGGCCGTGGGACATTGAGTCAGACAGAAGTTTTGTTGGAGCATGCCTAACAAATAGAATATTCCTGTCATTCACTGTCAGCATCACATGTAGATCAAGGGGATGCTCTGAGGCCCTCAATGATTAAATGCCTTTTCCATGCCACGTGGCAAGCAGCCCTTTTTTTTACTTATGAAACAGAGACTGGTAATACAGAGCTCAGCTGGGCTAAATGAGGTTGGAAATATTGACAAATGTTTGTCAGCCACTACTGTTTATCCCTGCTTGTCTGATCTAAGGTCTCTCTTGAGCATTTAGTGTCAATTACCTTGTCTGGTGTGTTCATGAATTGCTCTGATAAATGCTGGAGGGATCTTCCCTTTTTCTGACAGCTGGAGCTCCGGGCTGAATCTTTATGTTATGTTGGCCAAAACAGTTGTTGTTTATATGCTTCAGGGCCTCTTCTAGATTCAGATTTAAGCAACAACTGAACATCAAATGAAAAGTGATTAGTTTTAAAATTCCCTCACCGTACTCAGTCCCTTTTGTTGTCACAATACAGAATTACTCCCAGGTGTGTCCTTTGGATACATTTTTCCTGCAGAATAAATTTTACGTCTGTGTAAATTTTCCTTCTCTGTCCTTAATGGAACCTTTCTTACTGACAAACTGTTTAGCTACAAAAAAAAAAAAAAAAAAGGTATAAAATTAGAGGTATTTTTAGTATTGCCAGTAAAGGTATCAAGTTCTGTTTCAACACGGAGGAATATGGATGCCTGAAAAAGGCACAATCAATGATATATCCAATATATATATTTCCCATGTTGAGATTAAGATTAATCTTAAATGGTAGCTTACTGAACACACTAAAATATATATTTACACTAAAATACCATTTAAAATGTATTTTAGTATTTTTCCTTAAATATATTAATGTATTTGGAATATTGGGCTTTCAGGGTTGAAAAGGTCAGTATGAAATCTTAAGTACTTATTTTGTGACACTGTATGTAGTTTTTCAGCTTTCCAGGTAGTAAAAGTAAAATATAAATTGAATTTCATTCTATTCCAGTGTTCCAGAAAATTATCATGATATTGTGCATTAGGAATGTGTATTCTAGTTGATATATGTAATGTTGTGAATTGTATGGAACCCATCACTGTATAATTTTGATAAATATATGAAATTATGCCAGTAGATCTGTAGAGGCCATTTTCCCTGGGAGTGTGTTTCAGTGACTAGCTGGATGTGGTATCCAGAGCAGTCATCCATGATCACACTTTGCTTTTATCCAGACCTGCACATCTGGATGCAGCTTTACTAGATGGTATAGCTGCATCCTGATATTACTGCTGCAGCTAAGCTGTGATCTACTACAAATAATAGTAATGTAAATAGTAATAGTAATTACTAAAATAATGTAAATAGTAAATAATAATTAATGTGAAAACTTCTTTCAAGATGATTATTGACATTTCTAGATTAAAATTAAGTAAAATCAACTACACTTATGAAAACCTAGATCACAAAGGGTTTAAATAAACTGACTCTGTGCCAAGATCATAAGTCATACTTTTGCTGTCATCTTAGCATCCTGTATCAGGCTTGAAAAATATGTCTTTTCAGTTTTCATCTTTCAGAATCATCCATTAGTTATATTATTTAAAATAAAACTTCAAAATATTTATCTTTTAGCTGTAAACTATTTCTATTTGAATATTTTAGTACTTAATATCGCCCAGCAACAGCTTTCTGATATGTGATCATGGAAATGTCTGTATGACACTACAACGATAATTTCTTGCCCTAGTTGTTTTTCAAAACAAATTCTCTGCAATATTGTTTTGATTTGTGAAATGTTTCTATAGCAGGGAAATGTGGCTTGATGTTTTTTTTTTTCTGACTAGTCCTGCTAGTCAGAGTCCTGTTATCTGCTGGAGACAGATATGAAAAAAGTGATGTGCAGGAGTATATTGAATCATTCTACCCTTAGATTTGATTCAATAAAAGCCAGTACAGAATAATTTATAGAGGAATGACAAATTCAATAGGGAAAAGGATAAAAAATCTAAAGAACAATGCAGTGCTTTAGAGGATAAAATCTAAGTTACAATTCAGAGTGAAAAATCCCTACGTTACCTTTATTTGTCTTCAGTAGAGTTTAACTGCTGATAGTAGTTGTAAATTTACCCCTTCTCTTGCCTTTTCATTTATCTTATTTCTTGGTTTTCCTTGTGTTTTATATGCTGGAAGGCTCCAATGAGATCAGCAAATGAAACCTCCAATATTACATTGCTTAGATGCCTCCTTGGCACAGATGGAATATTTCTGTAACATAACATCGAGCGCCAGCCTGTGACTCTGAATCCTGGCATGGACAATCAGAGTGGGAGTGGGCTGGTCTCAGCGGCCCAGATCCTGCAGTCTCTGCACAGGCTGCATTTTCAATGACATGATCTGCAAAAAGAGTAGCTTCCTTTTCACTTCATGTGTACACATACTTTATTTGTTTCGATGTGGCAGAAAAGAAGCTGTTGCCATGAAATAAGTTCTTCTGAATGCAAATACGTGTGTTCTATTTGCGCTGAAGAAGGCACATGGGAAATGATTATTACAAAATTATCCGATATGGGCAAATTCTTCCTACAGTGAAAGCCTCCTTCAGCTTCCACCATTCATGATATCAAAAATCTGTCGCCACCCACAGAAAAAAACATACGTAGTTTGATAATAATGGTGAGATTTCTGCTCCACTGAACATGGTACTCATTCTGGCTTTAAATCTCAGTGAGATTCAAATGAAAACATCTTTACAAATTTTTGTTTTTGTGATCTGCTTTTTTAGATCCTCCCATGGGAAACAAATTTTATACAATGTTATGAATTTTAAAAAGCCCCAAACTCTCTCAGTAATTTTTAGAGAGAGCTGCATAAAACCACTTTAGATGGTAACTGAAAGCTTTCCTTAGAGTGATTTAATGATAACTCCATTCATTAATATCACATTACGTGATAATAACTTCCTAGCTAATGCTATGACAATTACACTGCTTAGAATATCTAATAATAATGTAATTTTCTCTTGCTTTCTTCATTCCCAGATACTGCTAGCACAGAATGCTCCTTGCAATTTCCAGACAAAGATTACGTGTGGTGGGACATCTTCATGAAAATCTGTGTCTTTGTCTTTGCCTTTGTTATTCCAGTTCTCATTATAATTGTTTGCTATACTCTGATGATTCTGCGCCTTAAAAGCGTACGACTCCTCTCTGGGTCTCGAGAAAAAGATCGGAACCTGCGTCGCATCACCAGGTTGGTTCTTGTGGTTGTGGCAGTTTTCATTATCTGTTGGACTCCTATTCATATTTTCGTACTGGTTGAAGCACTAGGGGACGTGTCCCATAGTACTGCTGCTATATCCAGCTATTACTTCTGTATTGCTTTGGGTTACACCAACAGCAGCCTCAATCCAATCCTTTACGCGTTTTTGGATGAAAACTTCAAGAGATGTTTCAAGGACTTCTGCTTCCCCCTTAAGATGAAGATGGACAGGCAGAGCACCAGCAGAGTTAGAAACACGGTGCAGGACCCAGCTTATATGAGGGAAGCGTGTGGAACAAACAAACCTGTATGACTAGTCGTGGAAATGTCTTCTTACTGTCCTCAAGAGAGAGAGGAGTCCAACGACCTAGGACTGACGCAGATTACCACTGCAGTTTGAATTCAACTCATCCAGACAGACATTTCTGGAATATTTCAGAGATCCTACTAGTTTGAACTAAAGAAAGTTTATTATTGACAAACAAGGAACTCACAAAAATAAGCTCAAGTGAAAAGTGCCTGGCTGATGGACTGAGGGTCAGGTTTTGGCACCAGGTTTGCTGTACCTGAGCCAGTACTAAAACACATTTTTGTGGAGAGAAGGGATAGTTGTACCAGCTGATTCTGGATTAAAAAAGTTCTGGCTCTTCTCTTTACGATGCGTAACTTTACACTGAGCAACATTTAGTCATAAAACTGAGTTATGCTAGAAACTTCTGCCACAACAGTGATTGATTCTAAAGTATGTAGTTTGACAACTTGATTTGTCTGCTCTTTTGCAGTCACGAGTGTTTAGGTTTCTGCTGAACAATACCAGAGCTATAATCAATATTGGTCTCAGCTAATATGTCTCTAACCTTTGTCTGTGCTGTGGAAATCCAATTTAAGCATGATCTACCTACACACCAAAGTGATTTTATTGTGTCTGTGTATGGTAAAGAATTTTGGCATTTAAAAATATTGGGATTTAAGGAGAATTGTTAGCATGTGTTTAATCACCTGTGTGTAATATTTTCTGTGTGTGCTTTTCCAAGGTGATTGTTTCTTTATTGAGTCTGAATAATATAATATGCACTTTCAGAATGTATTTCAAACAAGAGGCCAGAAAACTTCAAATGTTTCACTTCTTACAAAACTGATGAAAAGCTGCGATACGTTTACTACGTGGAAGAAACACTCTCATTCCATTTTCAGTAAAGGGGACAAACGGACATACTTAAAAATAGTGATGTAACTTGTTTTCCTGGGTAATTTGTGAGCAGACTGAAATAAACATAAATTAGAAACTAGTGAAGTAGTACATGAACTAACTGGGTTGATACAAAGGAAATTAAATATGACTAAACGCTTTAATGGCATTTGACTGAAAATTTCCCATTTTATTGATGCTGATACTTTTCTTTGATACAGTTCTGTGAATTCAGTTTTTGTCTCTGTTTTCCTGTGATGATGGAGATGTCAAAGCATGGCTACATAAGTTACTAGCTTGCTGAAGGTAAGATTATGTTAAAATTGAGCCTAACTATCGGTCTGTAGTCCTTTTTCTTCTTGCTATTATATATTATTACTCCTGTTTCTCCTGTTGCTGAAGTTTGGAGGAATGCTGTCATTATCTTCAATGAAAGCAGATCTGGTCACCAGACATCATCCTGTCAACTTTGTTCTTTATACAAAATAACGAACAAGGCGAGTGCCTTCATTGCATGGCAAATTTTCTCAGAAACACAATCTGATTTGGTTCTATTAGACAGAAAATACTTTATGCACACCAGTATAAATCATGAGATTTTTTTTCTTCTATTCGGCAGCTCAGTTCCTGTGGAAGTGCTGTAGAAATTCAACCTTCTGCAGAACAGTCACATATTTTATTGTTAATATAGTCATGTGTGCCAAATATTTTTGGTATCAGATTGATAAATGCAGTGCTCCTACATTCATCTTGCAGTACCAAACCAATGCTGAACAGTTAGTGGTGTTCAGAGACTTCCAGTGGTGCTGCTTCTTGGAGCAGAGCTGTGAGATTCAGACTGTGGAATGTGGTACTTTAGAACTAACCCCTCTAATGTAGTCATCTTTGTTATTGAAATATTCAAGATAACCCTTTCTGGACAAATCTAGCACTTTCTGGTTGTTTCTACATGATGAATGAATAGTTGACCTCAGGCTGCTTGATTTACCTGGGGAAATGAATGATGCTCGCACAACTGATTGAGTGAGTCTAACCTCCTGTTCTGTTCCTCTTTCTTTTTTTTTTTAACACACATAGAAAGGTCTATCTGACATTTAAATGGCCAAAAAAATTTAGAAGTTTTAAGGTAAAAATACCTTGAAAAGCCAGGGTATTTATCAAGTTAAAAGCAAGTAAAATGGGAAAGAACTAGACTCTAATGAATTATTTTCATTCAAAATAACCTGTGTTCTTGTTCACGATTTGCCATTTGCATATGCATATCTATATCTATTATCCTGCACATTATGTGCAGTGCTCTGCATTGTAATGAAAAATCAATGTTCGTAATTTGCAGAAAGGAGGTTTTTAATAACATTTTCTTTGTGATTGTGTATTTAGTAAGGAGATCATTATCCCTATTATAGTGGGAGGAAAGTATGAGATCCTAGCAACTAGGCTTGAACAGCTGTATAAGAATGTGCCCTAAAGGTTTATTTCTATCATCACAGAATCACAGAATCAGCTAGGTTAGAAAAGGCCTCTGAGACCATGGAGTCTAACCCAATACCCAACACCACCTTGTCAACTAGACCATGGCCCTAAGTGCCACATCCAGTCTTTTCTTAAACACCTCCAGGGATGGTGACTTCACCACCTTCCTGGGCAGCCCATTCCAATGCCCAATCACTCTTATCTGTGAAGAGCTTCTTCCTAATGTCTAATTTAATCATGCAACATTAACAGCCAAATTAGTCTGGCTGCAGCAGAAAACTGTCTTGGAAGTTTTCATGTCAAATTGGGCAGCTTACCACTCTTCACTGAACAACGGAAGAAAATTGGTCAAGATATTTTTAACACCTGAGAAAGTACATTAAAAATAATGCTATGTATTTTCTCGCAGAATCTGCTTCCAGATGATTAAATTCCCATTGTTTGTTCAGCAGTTTCAGACTGGAATGACTAACAGGTAAACCCAATTATGGGCCAGAGGAACATGCATGGTGACTTTGGAAACCTGTATTTAAACCTTGCAAAGCCCTTCACTTTCTGCTTCTGAGAGGCAATGAGAGGTGAACACAGGGGTGGAGCTGCCTGGCCCAGTTGTTGTAGTGCTGGGTGGGGGAACGGGGTAGCAGGGATAGGCTGTGCTGGCTCAAGGCTCCTGGAGGAAGGCAACACGGGGCAGACGCAGGCAGCTTGGGAATAAGCTGTACTTGCTGCAGCCAGTCTCCCTTCCCTTCTGTTTTGGAGGCTCCGAAAATTCAGTATTGGAAAAGTATGGTATGTGGTCATTTGATCTGCTTGTGGGGTTAAATTTCAATCAACTAGTGTGGATAATTAATGTATGTGTTCCCTGCTTGTCTTAATTTAGAAATGTTTCATATGGAAAATATACCATGTCTTTTTGTCTCTGCTTTGGGGAGCAGAGGAGAAGAGCATTACCACCGAGTTATTGAAGTTTGGAAATCAAGTTCTTCCCATAAACCTCAGACTTCTGCATTGTAAAGGTTAAAAATTAACTAGGGAGTGGAGGGCTATTTCAGATTCACCTCTCTTTCCTTAAATTTAAATTCTCTACAGCTGCCACTGGGTAACCCCTACAGAATGCAAAAGAACAATTAAGTGTTAAAAAACAACCAGGAACACTGTTCAAACTTCTGTTCTTGAGGATTTCACTCACTCTACACTTTTCTGTATTAAACTTGCACCACAAGGAATAGCAGTGGTTTTGGTTTTCTTTTTTTTTATTTTTATAAATTTGTTGAAAACCCCCAACAAAATCTGTGTGCGTCAAATGTTCTTCACTTTCCTTAGTGCTAAATATCTTCAACACTACATAGAAGAGTGAACTGCATTGCATATGGTCACAGAACTAAGACTAGTATAAGATAGTTAAGGTGTTTCAAGGAAAACATCTGAGTCTTAAGTGTCAGAGGGGAAAAATGATGTCACACAAACACCACAATTATTTATCACCTTATACTCTAATAGGAAGTCTAAGGATGTATAAAGAATTTTTTCAAACAGATGTTTTTATTTGAATTTCATATTTTGGCAGGAGAAAGCAATGAGGGTCAGCTAGTAATTTCAGTAATTTCTTAAGTTTTCAACTGTGACATTCAGAGGATGTCCTAAAGGGCAAAGAAACTGCTTTCAAAAATGCAAGGTTTTCCCCTTCAGTATCTACAACAGTGCTTTGCATGTGTGAATTGGGATAATTGACAAAGTATTTTCAAAAGGTAAAAGTTTTGTCCATAGCTTCAAAATCAATATAAATATTAGTCATAAATTACTAATGTGACTGCAAAAATAAACTGCTTCTTCCCTCCTGTGGCATTCTTGCCACATGCAGACAGCAGGGTATATTGTTCAGCATCACTAGATACTGTACTTGATAAAAATATCTTAAGAGGTGAAGTTTTTTTATTGGGATTGCAAGAAAAATGCTAAGGCTGAAGCTTTCTCAGAAAGCATGTACTTAGTTTTTTTGTCTGTATGATTTACCATATTTTTGGGCCTAATGAGAAATTATGGAAATGTTACACCTGATGCCTCCTAAATGGCAATTTCATGGCTTCGAGCACATCCTTGGGGTAGACCAGGACTGAGAGTCAACTGATAATTGGAAAGCTAAGATTTAGCACTAATTTCAGATCTTCTGTTCACGTTAACATTTGGGATCTGAGTCTCTGCTTTGCTAGAAAGGAAAAAAATATTCTCTTTCTCTGAAGTGTAAAATTCTGAGCCAAGGTGCAGCAGTTTGGGTATTTCACAGGTAAAATTGTATCTTTCTTCATAAATGATTGATTGTAGTGACAATGTTGTTTTGTAGCTGTCCAGAAACCAATGAGCTTTACCTGCCTCTTCATGTACCTGAGTGAGCTGGCTGACGGACAGCTTGGGAGTGTTTTCTGCATAAAGCACTGATGTGCAAGGTGGTAGTTATCTCAGACAGCAGATTTTCATCACTCAAAGTGTTTTGATGTCCAAAAATCATCCGTTTGGCTAATGCAAAAGAGATGGTATGCAAGCACTGAGAGATGTTTGCTGGAGGGAAGGGGTTGAGCACAGGAACTGCTTCCCCTGCTGCCTTGGGTAAAACCTGTCACACTCTGTATGCAAGGACTGCTCAGCTTTAGTTTACACCACTGGAGCTTAACACCATATGGCAACAAAGTACTGAGCAGTCAATCTCTCACTGCCCACCCCTGCCCCCTCCAAGAAACATGTGGGTGCAGATAAGAATAGTTTAAGAATGGAAACAAAGTAAAATATAATAATATTAATGCTAATACTATTAGAAATAAAAGAGGAGAGAGAGAGAGAGAAAAAATAAAACCAAGACAGACAAATGATGCCCAATACAATCGCTTGCCCCCTGCCTACTGATGTCCAGCCCATCCCATGCAGTGACTGGCTCCTCCTGGCAAACTCCTCCCAGTTTATATACTGAGCATAACATTCTGCAGTATGGAATATCTCTTTGGCCAGTTCAGATCAGCTATCTTGGCTGTGCTCCCTCCTGGCTTCTTGTGCACCTGCTTGCTGGCAAAGCCTGGGAAACTGAAAAGATCTTGACTTGTGCTAATCACTACTGAGCAACAACTAAAACACCAGTGTATTATCAACATTATTCTCATACTAAATCCAAAACACAGCACTGTACCAGCTGCTAGGAATAAAATGAACTCTAACTCAGCTGCAGCCAGGACAGCCACTGAAGGAAAACAATCATAGCAGTAACCAGCCTGTTCATTCTGCTTTCCCTTCAATTCTGATTTTAACTTGGCAGTTCTCCTATTCAGTTCCCAAATTTGATTATATCTATGGCAACATCTTAGATGGGCTTAGGGATCTTCAAAAGGGAAATATCTATCTCCTTCATAAGTAAACTAGCCCTGGGGCAGGCTGGTGGTTGTAGGGATTTAGGTTGCTGCTTCCCTGCTAGAAGAAATACCAAAATATCTGCTGCTTTTTACTCCACTGCAAAGTTGAGGCAAACTCTGTAGTAAACTTTTTGGAGGTGCTAGTGTCTATTAGTGATTTAATGGTGTGAAGACTTGATAGCGGGTACAAGGCATGAGAAAATTGTATTGACAGTGACAGCAGTTGCTTAGGAAAAGTGTATGAAAGCTAGGAGATCTGAGAAATAGGAGGTGTGAACACGTGTACCCATCTACAGAGTCATAAGATCTCTTATTACTTTTAATTTATAAACCCCAATGATATATACATATTATAAAGCAATCTATATCTCTTCACATTATCTGAAATATGTTCTAAAATGTTTGAAAACAAACAATTTAGAAGGCCTAAGTGTATGGAGATAAAGTAGACAAGATGGGTACTGACATACAAAAAATTTGTTATGGTGGGAAAAAGGTGCAAGGTAAAAAGGGAGTTTGGAAGCTTCTCTGAAATGCTGCAGACTTTCTTGGTAGAGGTCATCTTGAAGAAGAGTTTTTATTACTACTGATGCATTTCCTTCCAGACTGTCTCTCATCAAAGCAAATACTTAGCTGTCTGTCTCCAAAACAGCCATTACAATTTTTAAAATACTCTGCTGTACAGGAAGGTTTTCAAAAAGCAACACCAGGAAGAAGTCATGAAGGCAGTCTGATGATAGACCTGCAACTAAATCTTGCTCTTTAGTTAATGCTTAGTATGGGCAGAAAATCTGTTGACTGTATTTATCTTCTATTTCTAAAAATCTGAAACACAGCTTTGAAAGTCTGCATCTTTTAGACAATTATTTGATTGATATGTGAAAATAACCCTGTACTGTGAAGTTTTAATGTACTTGGCAAAACCACTGTTAATTAGCCCAGGAAATGGCAGGATGCATTTTAGGGATACATACCTCCCTCTGTTTTTTCTTTCTTCTAGAAGAAGAAATTTTTATGGTCAAAAATGCCCTAATTCAAAAATGCCTT